GGGAGATAAATGAAGACTCGTTTCAAATGGAGGACATGAGTATTTTAAAAAAATTATCTTTGCCTGTACCATAAAATTCCGAGACTTTTACATCTGCACCAATAGAAAATGGCCATGATTTTGTATCTGATCCTACTCCTGTTATGAGTAAGGAGTCTTGTGAATCCGAGCCTACATTTTCTATTGTAGAAAACAATGAGAATCCTGAAAAGGATGATAATGATGATCTAATTGAAATGCCACAAAATAATGAGTTACTTCAAGAAAACAGATTCGAATTAGGAAACAGGACTTGGGAAGGGAAGGTTTTTATGAAAAAACACCATAAACGAAGGGACAACAAGTCCACATCTCAACACTACCAGAAATTTGAACTGGGGAATGATCAACCTCCTAACAAAAGGAAAGGCAAGTCTATCTCTATTTCTAAGAGTCGTATTTTGTATCCTGATATAGATTATCATGTTGCCATTAGAAACCCTGTCAGATCTTGCACTAAACACCCAATGTCCAATTTTATTTCATATTCAAATTTGTCTTCATATATGTCTGCCTTCACCTCAAAATTGTCTAGTGTAGAAATTCCAAAAAGTATAGAGGTTACTCTAGAAATTCCAAAGTGGAGGGAAGTTGTACTTGGTGTTACGTCGCTATCAGATGGCAAGAAGACAGTTGGATGCGAATGGGTGTTCGCTGTGAAGTATAATTCAGATGGCTCAATTGAAAGGTACAAGGCTCGCTTGGTGGCTAAAGGCTTCACTCAGACCTATGGTATATAGTACTCAGAGACATTTGCTCCTGTTGAAAAATTGAACACTATAACAACTCTTTTATCTCTTGCTACTAACCTGGGTTGGCCCCTACATCAGTTAGATGTTAAGAATGTCTTTCTTAATGGTGATCTAGAAGAGGAAGTATAAATGGACATTCCTCCTGGTTTTGAAAACAAATTTGGATAAAATGTATGCAAACTAAATAAGTCTTTGTATGGATTAAAGCAACCTCCCAGAGCTTGATTTGAAACATTCACTCAGTCCATGAAGAATCAAGGGTACATTCAAGGACAGGCTAACCACACTTTGTTCACAAAATTCTCCAACGATGGGAAAGTTGTTCTGATTGTTTATGTTGATGATATTGTCCTTATTGGAGACGATACAGTGAAAATGGCAAGGGTAAAAGAGAAATTGGCAGTAGACTTTGAAATCAAGGACTTGGGATTCATGAGATATTTTCTAGGCATGGAGGTTGTTCAATCAAAGAATGGTATTGTGGTTTCACAGCAGAAATACATTCTAGACTTATTGAAAGAAACAGGAATGAATGGATGTCGTCCTGCAGATACCCCAATGGATCCTAATGCTAAACTTTAGGGAGAAGGTAATGTTCCTGTTGATACTGAAAGATATCATAGATTGGTTGGGAAACTGATTTATTTGTCATACACCCGACCTGATATTACTTTCTCAGTCAGTGTAGTGAGTCAGTTTATGCATTCTCCTTTCAAAAAACATCTTGAGGCAGTCTATAGGATACTGAGATATCTGAAGGGAAATCTTGAAAAATGATTATTTTTTAAGACTAGTGAAAGGAATGTGTCTATCTTCACCGATGTTGATTGGGCAGGTTCAGTCACCAATAGAAGATCAACCTCTGGATACTGTGCCTATGTTTGGGGTAATCTTGTGACATGGAGGAGTAAGAAACAAGGCGTTATAGCAAAGAGTATTGCAGAAGCGGAGTTTAGAGCTATGTCTCAAGGTATTTGTGAAGGATTATGGATCCTTAGAGTCTTAGAAGAACTTAAGATGAAAGTTGAGCTTCCATTGAAATTGTACTCTGACAATAAAGTTGCTATTAGCATAGCTCATAATCCAGTTCAACATGACAAAACCAAGCATATTGAGATTGATCGAGACTTCATAAAGGAGAAGTTAGATGCTGGAATCATATGTCTACCTTTCGTGACTTCAAGTCAGCAAACTGCGGATATCCTGACCAAAAGTTTGGCAAGACCTACCTTTGAGCATTTGATAGACAAGTTGGGTATAATAGATATCTATGCACCAACTTGAGGGGGGTGTTGGAAAATATTTTATTTCCAATTTAATTGTTTACGTTTATTGTCATTTATTTTCTTTTATTCTCCATTAAGAAGAGAATTAAGTATTTTTATTGTATTCTCATTATATAAATCAGCATTTGGCTGAGGAATAAAATTACAACAACTTTTATCTATTTCTTCCAATAGTTAGAATCATTTTTTTTTCTCTTGAAAGATTCCCAACACCTTTATCCTAAACCCATGTATCTAATATTCTTTTTTTGTCAAAAAATCTTCTTTTCTTCTTGAATCCATGTGTCCATCAATTTGGGCCAGGTCAATTAGGTTTAGAGTTGGACTCAACTTACGGAATAACCATTTTGCCCCTCTATCTTACTCCTTTAGAGTGGTATCTTCAAACGTACATGCCCAAAGTGAAGTTGTCACAAGTGAGAGCTAATAATTCTGATTGTGGAGGGACCACTGCATGAGGACTGGTGACTGGCAATTCCGGCAGTGGTGTAGGGACCCGGACTATGTGCTATTCAAATCTCTCCCACCACATATGGATTGGTGTCTGACACTTCGGGTACATGTAGTCCATTGAGTAGGAGTCTGAGACCCAAACATTTGAGGATATTACACCTTCTCTACTTTTTCTATCTACCCATGCATTAGCCACATGAAGAGTCTTGTGTCCTATCTTTGGATGTTCCTGAGTTTCCTTCAAAAGCTTATTCTTTTGGGAAATTCCTTCAAAAGCTTATTCTTTTGGGAAATTTCTGAGTTTCCTTCAAGAGCTTATTCTTTTGGAAAATTCCTGCATCGCATCCCATTGATTTGTCCTATTTAACATCTTAACGAAGCCCTATTATTGTTGAGACCCATACTTTTGTTAACATCGCCATCAAATTCTAGTGATTTTCCTCCATCTTGATCTGCATATTTGCTACAGCCATTGTGACGTCAGTTTCTATTGTGTCTATTTTGCCTCCACTTTAGTTATTGGTATTTGTCTCACTCCTTACTTCTCGGATCATATCAATGGAAGAAAAATATACTGCTACAACATAGCAAGGATCCTGCAAAGATGCCCTCACTACCACCTACACCCAGGGTGTTAATAACTGTAACCCACAAAACATGCAACCACCCTCCACCTTTTCTTCTCTCGCTGCCAGCTCAGTATAATAGCCCATTCATTCTCTATTTCATGGATCCGCCTCCTCTAAATTGAACAAGTCGTTTAAAGTGTTAAGTAATGTCATTATTAACTATTGAAGAACAACTCAATGGTTGATACTACATTTATACTCATAACTATATTAACTCTAGATTTTTTAACTTAACTAATTACTCGCTATAGAGTACCCAAATCAATATTTGTTCTAGTCAAAATTTCTAACCCTGGCTCGGGTAACACGTGGTGGGCCCCACTGCTCTTTTGGACACAACTTTTGGGTTTTATCCCAATTCCCTAGGATATAACAAACCTGAATATGTAATGAATCCCATGATAAAGTGACTTCTAATACTCTTGGAAAGTGGGCACATTAATTATCTCTTTATGGTTGATTTGTTCATGGAAGAGTGAGTTAGGTGCAAAGTAGAAAGCTCTGAATATCATAAACAGGTATCACAGTTACAATTTCACAAGATTTGAACTAATCAACTAGTTACTGCATCTGAGTTCCATTGTAGTAAAAAGCCACCGTCAATATTCTACTTCGGCATGTGATCTTGGAACCACATTTTATTTCTTGCTTTTCATGAAAAGATGTTACTCTATAGTATAGAGAACAAACAATATCTTGAAGTGGATTGATCAATTATCGCAAGGAGATCTAGACCAATCTCCATTAGTATAGACAACAACACTATACTATGTCCACCGTTCTCCTACACACATTATTTTCTTAGCTATTGGAAGAAAAACAAACAAGTCACACATTGGATGAGAAATAGTCTGAACATATGTTTATAAATGTTTATAAGTGGGGGGCAGTATTCACCTTATAGGCCTGTTTTATAAAAACCTAATATGTTATAGAGCTTATCGATTCGAACAACCCAACATGTATATCCACGCATCAAGCCTAATAGTGTTGAACATGAGGTGTATTAGAAATAACTCGTCCCACATTGAATGAGAGATGGTTTTTCAATACTAGCTATAGTAACAAATCTAAATATTTTGATAACTGCATTCCAATCGCAAACATATGGGAAAGGAATTTCAATGAAGTACGGATAGCTCTTGGATTAGGTGTGTCCAACCCGTGTCGGTGTTCGACACTTGTACGACACGCTCTAGAAACTCAGATAAGTGTCCCCCAAAAAAAAATTGCTTCTTCGACACACTTTAGACACTCCTTGGACGCATCTCAAAGACATCTACAAGGTTAAAGATGTGTTGAAGCAATGATCAATGGCGGGTAAAAGTTTAGCTTATTCGATAGTTGATGGATGAATATAAAAGGAATAATTTAACTCAAGCTCATCAGAGCTTGTATAGACTTTCCATAGCAGGCAAGTTGCTTGTAACTAACTCTAAATTCTGTAACTAACTGACTAACATGTGTTTGTCAGTTACCACATCCTAACCTACTAGAACTCTTCTTTGTAAACTTCACAGAAATCAATACAAAATAGTTTCAAAGCAAGATTCATGAAATCTGCACAGTTCACATAATTCTAACAATGACTTAAGGGTTTAGACTATCATATCTTGTTTTAAAACATTTTAAGGAAACAACTTGCTCAATTCTAATTCTCAATCTAAAAGTTTTATCAATAATATTCAAACTTTATTAGCTGTAATAAATGTTTAAATATGTATCATTGTTGGTGTCCTGTATTCACATTAGCCGTGTCTAAGTGTTCATGTTGTGTCAAGTTTCTGTGTCGGAATCTACGTTTCATCATGCTTCATTATTTTGATAAAAAAAATACTTACAGTATCAATGTCCTCTGTTTTTGTCCATGCGAACTTCGTCATTGGATGCTTTGAATATAATGGTCGTTGAATCTTTGGAAGCACTGCTAAAAAATTTATAAATAATAAATGAGGATCTTGTTGAAGTTATGGGTTTTTGAAAAGAGAAGGAGAAGACAAGTTATAAGGCTCTGGATAATGACAATGGGGTAATTTTATTGATAATATTCTGATACCAACTTAATACTAAAAGACTAAACAATAAATCCCATATATATAGATGCAAGACTTCTATCTACTCGTAAGTAAATAGGAAAATCAAGAAACAAATCATGATATAACTAAATACTCCTATGGAAACTAATCTTAAGAAAAAATCAAACATACATTTTATGATCAGAAACTTATCCTATGAGATAAACTAAGGTACTTTAAGACTAAAAGAAATATTCTTATATTCTAACATTTCCTCTCAAGCCCCCCAAGCAAATGCTTATTAAGGTTTAAGCTTGTTACAAATATATCATTTAAAAGATAAAATATAAATTTGATATATCAGTGACCAAAAAATCAGAAGCAACGGAAAAGAACATGCCGGACAAGAGAAAAATGGCAAATTGTATGGCTGACAAATTATTAGAGTTTCTTTATAGTTAATGCAACTTAGCAGCAGAATAGTAATGAAACAACAGGTCACAAAGGTTGGTACCGCTGTGACATCATGTTGAAATTATGGGTTTCCAATATTCTGATGAGAAGTGAACAGGAATTTCTAAAATCTAACTACAGAAGTAAATCAAAACAACATTGGATGCATTTTCACGCTAGATGGAGTCAGCTATTTGAGCCAAATGAAGTTTTTTGTCTTCTTGTTGAATATTCTATATTTCCTTGTATATATTGATTTTAACTACATCTTGAGCATTATGTATCCTTCAACATACATGGAGAAGAGTTTCATACCAAGAGCATCTTCAGGAACCACTTCTGACTGAAGAAGCTTCCCTTGCAAACTCTTATTCTGCATGACATGAAAGCTGTTAGTTCTGGCACCTCAGGTATTATAAAATAGAAAAATATTTAACAAATAACAATTGAAGTTTTGCATCCAAAACTCTCATAAACTAAGCAGAAAAACATCAAGCATGCTATGATACATTTTACAAATGATCACCAATATCAGATCTAGATAAGTTCAAAAGAGAAAAGACAGAAAGTTCCAAATACCTCCTTTAACAAGTTAATTTCGGATTCGGATAAACCTCTCCTGAAATATTATGCATAAAATAAAAATCAAGGGAAGAAAGCAATATAAACACACAATTATAAAAATTCACCACATCAAATCTTTTATACTTTGATTATCATTTACATTTACAACATAAAACAGATCTGGCTCAAAATATGTATGAAAGAGACTCAAAAGGAGGAAAATAAGTTATTTTCTAGCACTTTTAAAATTATAAAATACACTCAATCTAATCACTATTATAAGCAAATATTCTTTCTTCAGACTGATTGAATAAGATGTATTTTGCCCCAAATATAAACACATACATCACAATAAATGTTTGTTTACAATAGTGACCAAACGGAGTACATGTAGAAATGTGAGGTAAAAATGTATTTCATTTACATACTCAACAGATTTGCAAAGTTATGTGTGTCTATATATCTAAAGTATCTAAAGTCTCTTCGGGGTCCCCGAATTGAGTTTAATTGTAACAAGAGACTAATGGGCTTGGTTCTAATATCTAAAGTACTCTTAACATTCCCCATCAAGCTTGGGCTTGTAGATTATATGCACCAAGCTTTTTACAATTAAAACTCAATTTGGTGACCCCGAAGATCAGTGTAGTCAAAATCGAGTGTTGGGTCTTAAGATCATACGATTTTATGTGTTGAAATTGCCTTTAAGTGCTACAATCTGAGAAAAAACTTTTTCATGCACTTTGTGGTTAAGATCGAGTGTTGGGTCTTAAGATCATACGATCTTACGTGCTGAAGTTGTCTTCTATATGACTACATTGATATGTGAATTACATAATATCTCATAGATGATTAGACTTATGGAATGATGGTTATGTATTATTAATTAAATTGGTTGAATTTTGTTATTTATAGGTTGTTTTGTCCATGTATTATATATATATACTACTTTGCCCTTCGGTAAGATTTTAAGTGTCGTGCTATGCTCCTAGTTTTATGATCTTTTACAGGTCGTCTGATCCTACTTAAGGTCTAGTGTTTGACTACCTTACCGAAGATACTTTCGTAAGAAGATCAACTAATTGAATTAGTAAACCCTAGGGTTGGCCTAGTGGTGAAGCTTGGGTCATGAGAGTGTGTTTCTCTTAAAGTCTCAGATTCGAATCCTGCAAGGTATAAACAATTCCTACGTTGGGTCAAGTCCATACAGGACTTTGCTATGGCTTTAAATAGGGCCCCCGCAAATGGACGGTGGGATTGATCCCCTTGATTTATACAACCATGCAAAACATTCTAGTGAAACGACAATCTAATTCAATATGAAAAGATGCTTGATTATCACAACAATCTCATTTGAGACTTGTACAAAACATAATTTCGTGAATTATCTGCTTGATCCAAATAAACTCATGTGACCAAGGCCATTGCAAGGTATTCAACCTCAGCAATAAATCTAGCTACAACATTTTACTTCTTACTTTTTCAAGACACGAGTTACTTCCAACAAAAACACAATATCTTAGAGGTAGAACGTCTATCAAAAGATGAACCAACCCAATCAACTTCAGATCTTACGTGCTGAAGTTGTCTTCTATATGACTACATTGATATGTGAATTACATAATATCTCATAGATGATTAGACTTATGGAACGATGGTTATGTATTATTAATTAAATTGGTTGAATTTTGTTATTTATAGGTTGTTTTGTCCATGTATTATATATATATACTACTTTGCCCTTCGGTAAGATCTTAAGTGTCGTGCTATGCTCCTAGTTTTACGATCTTTTACAGGTCGTCTGATCCTACTTAAGGTCTAGTGTTTGACTACCTTAACGAAGATACTTTCGTAAGAAGATCAACTAATTGAAGTAGTAAACCCTAGGGTTGACCTAGTGGTGAGGCTTAGGTCATGAGAGTGTGTTTCTCTTAAAGTCTCAGATTCGAATCCTGCAAGGTATAAACAATTCCTACGTTGGGTCAAGTCCATACAGGACTTTGCTATGGCTTTAAATAGGGCCCCCGCAAATGGACGGTGGGATTGATCCCCTTGATTTATACAACCATGCAAAACATTCTAGTGAAACGACAATCTAATTCAATATGAAAAGATGCTTGATTATCACAACAATCTCATTTGAGACTTGTACAAAACATAATTTCGTGAATTATCTGCTTGATCCAAATAAACTCATGTGACCAAGGCCATTGCAAGGTATTCAACCTCAGCAATAAATCTAGCTACTACATCTTACTTCTTACTTTTTCAAGACACAAGTTACTTCCAACAAAAACACAATATCTTAGAGGTAGAACGTCTATCAAAAGATGAACGAACCCAATCAACATTTGAGTATCCTATCACTTAGAAATGACCTTTGTGTTCACTTGAATCTGAATGTCTTAATTTATATATATATATATATATATATATATATATATATATATATATATATATATATATATATATATATATATATATATATATATATATATATATATATATATATATATATATATATATATATATATATATATATATAAAAGCCTCCTAACAAATCTCACAAATTAGAAAAAAGATATAATACGTCTTAGCCTCCTAACCAATCTCATTAATTAGGGAAAAGATAATACTAAGAATTAAAAACAATAAAACAATATTACATCTAAAAAAGTTATACATCATAAGCATCCATCTTGTCACATATGTAAGTAATTCGAGGTCTCCGAAGAGACATCATAAAAAGATCAGCAAGTCGATCCTTGGAATTAACAAAAGAGGTTTTGATGGTTCTGGGAGTAATGTTCTCCTTAAAAAAGTGACTGTCGGCATCTATATGCTTTGTCCATGAAACGCTGGATTAGAGGAGAGGTGCAAAGCTGACTAGTTATCACATAGAAGAGCTCACTTGTGGCATGGGTCATGACTCGATACTCAACTTATGTGCTTGATCGAGCAACAATTGTTTGCTTTTTGCTCTTCCATAAGATCAAATTTCCACCAGTAAAAACACAATGTAGAACGTCTATCACTTGCATCGCCTGCCCAATCAGCATCTGAATATTTAATGATATCAGTGTTGCCTCTATCACAATGACTTGCGCAAATTTACATACCTGACTACACTCCCCCTAGCAACAAACCCAAGAAGTTGCAACAAACCCAATTCAAATAGTTCTTATTACCAGTGTATGCAAAAACGAGAGTCAACACATTAAATCGTCTGATTCTATGTTGCAAATCCATGTCATCGTGCTCCGACTCCGTTAGGATTGCATTCCCCCAACTCGGAGAACTCATACAAGTTCTATGAGCTAAATCGCTCAGCGCTCAAAAAGATTCGGCCGCCCCTTTTTTTGGGTTTTAAAAAAAACCCAGATTTTTAAAATGGATATCGATCCTGGTCGGTTGCATTTAATATATTAATTTTAAAATCTTTTAAATAGGAATTTGAAGAGATGCGCTTAGCACTGTATCAATTTTTTCTCTTCTACAAATCAAATCGTTCCAATTACCATCATTTTCTCAATAAAAAAAATGTTCCAATTCCAACAATAAAAATTTTTTTATTTCACATAAAATCTCATTATCTGTCATTATTACTATTCATTTTTTCTATAGCTCGATTCTTGACTAATTCATTCCTTGAAAGAGAAAATTTATATTCTTCCTATAAATATTATTACTTATACACGGAAATTGTATTAAAAGGAATAATTATTCATTACTCACTATAATTATTATTATTCTCTCCTTAAAAACTCATGATTTTTTTGTTATTATTTGGAACTTATTTTCTTTATATATGATTATTTTTGGGCATGTGTATAAAATTATGCATGTATAAATATATTTTTAAGCAGTTGTAGGATATTATGATCCGTTCTACGATTCTCGAGTTACGATTTTTCAATTCTCTACCGTTTTCATGTAAACTCTCAAGTTTTTAAACATTACTTATTACCAATCAATTTTTCTGTGGCAATAACAGGTGTTCCTTAAAACTCAAACATAATAAGACTCTTTCTGGAAGGATCCTTTAGTCATAAAGCAAGGGGTAAGATATCACTAAATAAAGAAGTCTAAGACTGCAGAAACAATAAACAACTAGCAGGTAGTATGTGGTGGACAAGAAGAAATATTAACAAACAAATATGCTGGAGGCGAAGAACCAGCCGAAACACACTTTAAACGTGAGAGACCCACCAACTAAAAGTGATCGGCAATGTAATCAGAGTAGAAAACTCAGTATGTAGCAAAAATTGCTGCCAGAAGCAAGCCGACGGAGGGCGGCGTGTGGCGAGAAAAAAAACTAGGGTGTTTTTTTAACCTAGGGTTGGAAACAAATTAGGGTTTTAAAACAATGCTCTGGATACCAACTTGAATTTGAATTTCTTGTTCAATTATGTAGAGAGAGAACACATATATAGAAGTTTGAGCCTCCTAACTAATCCCACTAATTAAGGAAAATATATACTCTCTCTGTTTCAAAATAATTGTCGTTTTAGAAGAAATTTGTTGTTTTAAAATGAATGTCTTCTTACTTTTCAATGTAGTAATAATTGCTATATTTCTAATTGTGTCAAATAATTATTACTCTGTACACTATTTCCAACACACCAATAAGACTAATTTAGTAAAAGTGCAATAACTTATGACAATATCATTGCATTCCTTAATCTGTGTACAAAAACTTTAAACGACAGTCATTTTAAAACGGAGGGATTACTAGGTTTAAGTCTCCTAACTAATCCCACTAATTAGGGAAAAGATAATACTAAGAATTAAAAAACAATAAATACTAATAATAAAACAATATTATATCTAAACATGTTCATATAACATACCTTGCCCAAAGTTACTTCCTAATGACTATCACAAAGATCGAGCAAATATTTAGACCATTGAAACAACAAAGGAAATATCTAGACGAGTGATAGTGAGGGGTCTCCTCAATATTGTCCGAAACACACTTCCTTTGAAAAACAATGTCACAATTCCTTTGAGCCACTTTGATACCTAGAAAGTTTTTTATATCTATAAATATATTTAGAA